CCAGCCTGGTGTGTCCATCATCTTCCATCATGGCTGGCTGGAAAGATGGAAATCCAACATATCTGGAGAACACCAGGTTGGGAATTACTGTCCCAGCCTGAGGATTGAAGGAGAGGGAGGCCGCCAGACCATTCTGCCATTAGGTTAGAGCATGGGTCCTCAAACTACGGGCCGCAGGATGGATCTGGCCCACCATGGCCTTCCATTAGGGCCGTTCCCCACCCGCATATGCACTTGCTGTACGGGCGGGGAGGTGGTGGCTTGCTCGCTCGGAGACGGTCTCCGAGCAAGCAAGCAAGCCACTGCCACCTGCCTCCCGTATGCACACATTTGCCGCTGCCGCTGCGGGCAGGGAGGTGGTGGCTTGCTCACTCAGAAATGGTTTTGGACTTGCAGGGAGATCTCTGAGCGAGCAAGCCACTGCCGTGCGTGCCCGATGCCGCCTTGCGCACGCCCAACAGCACCTCACTGGCCCACGTGCCCAGGCACCCCCACCTCCCCAGTCCACGACAGTCACCACAACCTTTCAACTAGCCCCCTGTTCAAAAAGTTTGAGGACCCCTGGGTTAGAGAATGAAAGCATCTTGCTCTTTCCACTACTGGTTCCCCTGCGGTTTTCGGATTCCGTAACTTGCCTCACTGACATAAAATCATAGTAATTGTGGTGGAGAGGCAGCTCTGTATCCAGACTGCATCGGATCAGGCTTGTGGGACTCACAGTGCCCCAGTAATGGGTCAAAAAGTAATTTCAAAAGGGATCCCAACTGTGCAAAGTTTGTGGATATTCCAGAAGGGCTGGACAGCTGGAATTTCACGGCTCGAGGCTTGGTCTTCTTGCTTTTATCTGGCACGTCCTCAGCATTCCAAATGTTTCCACAGGCTCAAGATGGTTGAGGTCCCTGCTGTGGCTATTGGCTCTATTTTAGCCTGCTGCAGTGAGGTTTTAACAAAATTCATGGCAGATCAGTGTTTATTAGCACAAATGCCTTTTGTGAAAGGAAGGTGTTTCACCCCCACCTGTACATATTTCTGGCTGTGCCTTAAACTGTCAGTTCTGAGATTGCTTCTGAGCAATTAAGCATTGCCTTTGTTAGAAACCATTTCACCGCCTATGAGACATTTACCTTATGTTCATCCTGAATACAGAAAACATGAAAATTGTACAAGACCAGGCTGATAAACAAGCCCAAGTGAATAAAAAAGCAAGCAAGGCATGATTTGTGCTGGGATGAGACAGAAGAGTATGTTAGAACATGTTGGCAGACAGATAGAAAGGTAGCATTTTCTTAAAACCAAAATATTCCAAGGATGATCATTTGTTTTGCCACTGTGACCTAGAGGAGTCTATTTCCCATTGTTAGCACTGCTCTATTTATGGAACGTCTGGCATTGAGATAAAGACTTGTGAGTAAAGATGTCATCCCTGAACTTTTGTCTTAGTCTACTTGCAGTCTTAGAATTCTCCATGTTTGGTTGGTGCATCCAGGATGCTTCAGCATGAATTTGCAGAGGCCTGGAAAATACAAGGCTCACCTTTAACCCTAAGCTGCATTCATTTCATTAATTTCACTGTAGCTTGTGCCACTTGTTGGGGATGAGTTAATGGCTTTATTAATTTAGTAGACCTCGACAATATGCCAGTCCTTACTGCTTTGGGCCATGCTAATTTAACACACCTAGCAAAGCAATCATGCTATATTCTAGCACAGTCTGCTAGCTCAGAGCGCCCCCCCACACACACACACACACATACCAAATCCTTTTAGGAACAGTGGGCATGTTTGGAATTTGGGAAGAGCGTTACTCTCACAAAATGCCTGTGATGTGAGTCTGTTCAGGAATGCTTACCAGGATGTGCATGGCTAGTCACAAAGCACTTATTTCCCAGGAAAAGGTAGGGCTCAAAGAAAAGTAATTTGTCCATTATTTTTGCATTCCATTTTATGCTCTGCCCTTCTTCTTTCGCAAGGAACCCAAGGCAGCTTAGAGGGTTTTCCTCCTCTGCATTTCATCCCCACAGGAACAAGAAGCCCAACAAAAAAAGTTCTCTGTGGTTGCCACATTTTATTAAACGAATAGTTTTTTCCTTGCCCCCATTTTTGTCAATATTTATTTTGTTACCCTCACTTGCACAATGGCAGATTGTGGAGTTGCACAGTTGTGGGAAGGGGGAGCCTTGAGTAGGCCACATGTGGCGGGTGGGGGCAGGTGCTGGAAAAGTTGAATAGGTGCCCACATTAGGCATTGCCTCACGGAGGAAAGTTTTTTGCCCCCTTGGTTCTGTTTGACAGATATCCAAAGGCGAGTCCAGCACATCCATCCCAAGGTACAAGTATTCTTAGCTTGTGAAAATAGGGTAGCACTTTGCTCTCTCACCACAGGGAAAGGGCCGGGGGGAACATGCAAAACTGTAAGCCACCCCTTTTAATGGATGTAGTTACTTTTTCACATTTGCCAGAAGTAAAGCTGTATTTTCACAGAGGGATTTAGAAAGCATTACATACCTGTACTGTTTTCTGCCCTTTCTTTAAGCGACGGGACAAATGCAAATCTAGGCAAATGCGCATCCTACGTATTTTTTTAATTGCATGTGGGTCTGGTAAGGGCAAATGCTGAGTGGAATTTATGTCATTAAAGTTTTTTGTAGAAAATTGCACCAAGTGTGGCCTTTCCACGCAGTGGTACAGAAACAAAAGGGCTACACATGGTGCTTTCCCCGTCCTTCCAAATATTCCTTTAAAGAACCTTCTCGGGCTCAGGACCTGGAAGCACAAGAGCTTCCTCATAGCCGAATGGCATTAAATGGACAAGAATATCCAAAATGCTAGAGCATTTGGAAAACTTCATTGTCCATGTCTGCACAATCAGCACGTGAACAGGGGATCGTGTGAACAGGCCCACTGTATGTAAGATGAAGAACACGCGTGTGATCTGATAAACAGCAGTTTGATGGTTGCATCTGGTTCGAGTCTTTTGTGGACTCTGTTATTCAGTGTTACTGTTCAGTCCCAGAACATGTGGGCCTGAGCATGTCCTTTCACTTTGAAAGATCACACAGGCAGCCAGGGAATCTCCCCTTGAAATGCAAATGGCGGCTTTGAACAGACCATTTTAGTTGGGACTGTGTAGCAAGAGAAAGCCCAAGTCTGCACAAGAAGTTGGAGAGTGCGAGTATGGGGTTGTTGCTACATTGGGTGAACTCAACCATTATAACAAACCATGGTTTGTAACAACCCACAGTTCAATGAGAACCCACACTAAGTCCATATTTAGCCTATCCTATAGATAGCCATGCTGTGTAAAACATGACTTTACCTTACCAGAATGTGGTGCATGTTCATTGCATTGACGCAATAATCTAGTCCTTGCTAGTTCTTCACTTTTCCAGCTCAAAATATGTCTTTGGTGAAAGCTTAGCTGTTGACCAGGATCCTGAGCATTTCCCTTCTAGCACAGAAATTGCTTGTAGTGGCCTACCAACATATTACTACAGGGGATAGAAAACCTGGGGTCTTTCAGATAGTTTGGGCTACAGCTCCCATCAGCCCTGGTCAGTAAGAACAATAGTCAGGGATGTTAGATGCTGTAGTGCAGAACTTCTGGAAGGCTCCTGTACTATTTACTATTACATTGCATGTATAGCCCTCCTTTTTTTCCCCTTGGGAGGAACCCAAGGCAACTTAGCACAGCTCCATTTTATCCCTGGAAGAACAGAGTGAGGTGGGCTGGGATGAGCGTGACTGGCCTCAAGCCACCCCATGAGCTGCATGGCCAAAGGTGGACTAGCACCCAGACCTCCCAGATCTGCCGTCCAGCACTTAAACCACGGCACCAGTCTAGGTCTCTCCATAAAACACCAGTTATGTCATCTTGACAAGCTTTACTTGCACTACCATAATCCAGATTCTTTTGGCATCTGTACAGAGACACCCATTAACTTCAAAGGATTTTCCCACAACATCAACAAAAATTGCATTGGTTTAACCTTGAGCAAATGAGATTCTCTCCAAAACATCAAAGAAGGGCTTGGCTTCTGTGGGATATCTGAACGATTTGTTCCTGCAGACACAAAGGGTGGGAGGGGAATGAAAAATGTGACAAAACCACCAGAGATGCTCCAGTTGAATGTAATTGCACAGAAAAGGGGAATTGGAAAGACATCTCCTGGAACATCAGAGGAGAGGAAGGCATCCTCTGGTTGCACTCTTGAATACCTGCTGAACTGGAGGGGCCGACTTGAGGAAATGGTGTTCAAGCCTGTAGTGCTTCCCCTTCTGTAATCTTTTCCTGATGGAAAAATGGGGTAGAAAGAACAGAAGGACTTGCTGCAGTTCTACACTGCTTGCAGCAAAGCATCTGGGAAGTCTGATGCTGACTTTCCTCTAATATCACCCCTGTGAATCTTCCTCAGTTGTATTAGGGTTACTCCTATTTCTTCTTCTCTAAGCTTGTGTTTTCAAGTTTGACCATTGCTGCGTTACTGTTGTTTGGTCACAGAATTTTCAATGACACAACAATGCAGTTCAAAAACAAACAAATGCTATTCCAATTGGGGCTGTTTCCTTTTTTGGGTTATAATTTATTTATCATTATTTTTTAGGCCACCTTTAAGGGCCTAAAAAAGGGTCACACTTAGCCACTTAAATCCAGACACATTTTGTGGATTGGAGCTTTTAGGATGAAGGAAACAGAGTATCAGGCCTTTCCATATTGACGCTTTCCTAACATTTTGAACCTCAGCTTTCATCAGTCCCAGCCAGTGATGGCAACTGTCAAGAATGCTAGGAGCTTTAATCTGAAATGTCTAGGAGGAAACTTTTTGGGGAAGGCTGAACAAGCATATGCTTCCCAGAGCGTTTTGCTTTCAGTGTGCACAGATATTAGGCAGGCCCAAATTCCCATTTACATTGAACAATAAGGTCTTGATCAGTGAACAAGCTATCCGTGAACCAATTAGGTGTTTGTGGGTCAATAGGAGTAGGAAAGGAAGGGAGGAAGCATTTTGATCTGCAGAAGCACTTTACTAGGTCCGATAAGTTTTGAACTGAGATCTTCTTCAGGGAGACCATTTCATATGAACAACTAAAAACAATACATTGTAGAAATTACAGTGACAAAGCAAGACCAAAAGGTTAAGAATTAGCTTGTATAATTATTGTCAATAGCAATGAAACAAATGACAGAGAAGGGCCACTGAATTATGCTAAGCATTTTGGCACAGATGCTATTAAATTCCTGTTTAAATAATTACAATAGGAAAGCATTTTATTTATTTTTTTATAAAACACACAAGAATGTCATGTTTTGTACTTTGGACTGGCATGCTTGTGGTAATGCCCATTGCAAACAGTCTTCATGGGATCCAGATGTGCAGTCTCTCTGGGCCTTGGGCGGGTTTTGTCTTTGCTTTTCTGAGTTGAAGTGCAGGCAATAGGGCAGGACAGGAGAAGCAAGAAGGCAAGGACGCATTATGATACCATTGCTAGGTTCACAGGACTTTATGTTCCTGTTTAGGTCGGTCACGAGCCCCAGATGGCTGTGATAGCAATGCTGTAAACTGCTCACCTATGGGCTGTATCAGGCCAAGTCCGGCCACTTGGAGTCCCAGTTTGTGACTTCACAGATGGCCCCTCCCCTTTGTCTAATCACCAATGGTTTGAGGGATTCCCAGTTTTGCACTGTGTGTTTCCCCATTCTAAAAGAATAAAATGCATCTGCTGAAGGTTATTCTTTGGCAGTAAGAGCTTTAAGTTAAAACATGCTAGCATTTCTTGAATTGCTGCCTTCACCCCTTTTAACTTTCATTCTACCCCATTTTGCATTTGGCTTCACCCTCCATTGGAATGCAGCCCCTGATGCTTATCTGAAACCAAATTCAGCGGATGGGCTGAAGCAGGTTCAATATCCCTGCAGGGTATTAATAAATAGCAGAAATTGTTCGACATCAAGATGTTTCTCAGACTTATTTTAACTATCTGCAATTACAAGACTATTATTACTATACCAAGTGATTTATTTAAGCCTAATGTCATGTACTGCATTTCATGAAATATACCATTTCTATATTCATGTGAGTTTTTAGTTATTTACAGTATTCTTTATAGAGGACACATGACACTAAGTGCCCGATCCTATGCATGTTTAACAACAAAAGCGTCCTACAAAAGCCAGCGTGCTGCCCAGGACATGCTGGACTTGCGGGGCGTTTTTCTTTTTCAGTCTAAACATGCATAGGATTGGGACCCAAATAATTTAGATATACCATATACAACTTACACAACTGATGTGCACGTATCATATCATGGTAATTTGAGCCACAGAAATATTTGTTACTCATTTCCCAGAGGGAATATCTCATTTTAGCAGCGGTTAACAATGTCACTTTATTCAAAATAGAATTATAAACATCATACAATAAACACAGCTATTGTAAAGTGCGTTAAATGTGTCTTCCTCTGCAGCTCCTGCCCCCTCATTCACTCAGGTAGGTATTCAAAGGCAATCAAGTTTACCGGCTTAACTAATATTGGATATGGCTTAAGTTTTCCCCAAGAGAGATTTATTTTGTGAGTCTCACTCACCTGAGAGAAGATCAGGTTTTCAACATTTATGCACTGCCAAATAACCAGTGTGTCTAATCCAACAATAAAAATGTGAGATTTCTGTTCCTTTTAGAAAGCCTCTCATAAGTGATGTAAGCATCTATTATCAAGGGACAAGCATGCAACTTTTAAAGGATTGTGTAACTTGGTGTCCTGCAACGGCAGGGGGGATTGGACCCGAAGGCCTTCATGGCTCCTTCTAACTCTAGTATTCTATGATTCGACACTTTCAAGAACATTGATTTAGCTGGTCTTCAGTTAACAGTGGCCAATGTAAAGCTTAATCTTGACACTGAGGAAACACATCTTAATAGTGAGGATGGGGACATCTCCAAGCTATGAAGAGACTACAACCAGGTGCACATACAAGCCAAGATCAGGAGGCTTCCTTCCTCTTGCTACTACACAATTAAGTGGCTCTCAGACTTCTGGAGGTGTTTCCAAATTGCAACACACCACAAAAACCTGCCATTAGAAAGGAAAATTGGAAGGCACAAAGCAGAGCTCATGTACAAGCACTTTGGTACACTGACCTGGTTTACTCATAGGCTTGGTTTAGATGTAATGACAACCTATACTAATCCATGTTTTATTTAACCAGTGGTTTGTTGCAGTTTGTCTGGCAGATGGTTGAACAAACTGTGATTTGTCTTCTAAGTTCCTGGGTTGTTTGTTTCCCTCCATCTAGTCCTTCCCTCTATCCCTCTACCTTGTGAAATGACACAGGAACAACCCACAGTTGTGATTTCCCATGCAATGGTAACTCATGATTTAAACAAGCCAGAATTCACAACCCAGCAGTGAAACATGAGTTCTCTTGTTGAATTGTTTATGGTTAACACGTCATGGTTTGTTAGTGTATCTGGAATTGGAAATCACGACAACATAGAATTCAACAGCAATCTTCTTCATGCGAATATTTGCAGTTTGCACTATCACCAAAGCCATGTTTTTCTACCAGTTGTTTCGAGGAGTGGCAAGTAGACAAAGTTCAACTATTTCAGTTTGTACTTTCTTGAAAAAAAATGCAAACTATTATAACATTTTGGCAATGCTACTTACCCAGTAAGTAGCATTACATCTGCCACTTTTCATTTTTCTTAATTTTGGAACCTTTCAGCTGAACAATCAGCTTGCTCAAAGCTATGCTATATGGGTGAATTTTCATAGGATGACTGCAATATAAAAGGCTAGATTTTCAATTCGATTGTGGTCTCTTTAAACTCTCTGAAAAATAAGGCATTACTGATTAGACCATAACTGCTCTGTAATATAACCATATGAAGCTCGTTCATTGCTGCTTACAGACATCTGAGCCAAATATCTTCCTTCTTTCTATGGTGCATTCCTGTATACGTTTGGACAGAAAAAAATCCTAAACTTTGTAGGACTTTTTGTGTCAAAACATGCATAGGCTTGTACCCTTAATAAACCAGCAGGCAAAGTGACAACCAAGGACATCTGGATGGTCTAAGGCTTGATGCCCATCAGAAGGTATGGACATTCTTCCAGAGGAAGGTTCTGCACATTCTCCATTTCAGAACAGACTTGGTTCTTCACTGCTGATGGATTCGTTTTCCTGAATGTACTTGAGAATGTCTACCTCAGCCATGCTCTGAATCTTCTCTTTTGCTGGCATTGTTCTTTGGTCTGGTGACAATGGGAGCTTAGTATCAGTAGCTGTTGGCTTCTTAGGTATGACTGGTTTAGGTGGCACTCTAGGCTTAGGCTTAGGCTTAGGCTTGGGCTTGGGCTTGGGCTTGGGCTTGGGCTTAGAACTCATTTTCCACATGTCTTCAAAATCCACTCTGTAAAAGAGAAGGGGCAGAAAATCAGACAAGTAGAAATCTTGCTTCTTCCAGGCATCTAACATTTAGGGCCAAATGTCCCATGATGGCAGCAGACCTCTGTCTTTTGTCATTCATCTGCCACTATCGTAGGCTTGGGGAAGGGCTATGTAGCTCAGCATTAGAGCACATACTCTGCATACAGAAGGCTCCAGGTTGAGCTATGGGGGGCACAGGAATCTAGTGAATGAAAAGGAGATTGTATTCAGGATGAGTTACTTGTGTGAAACCATGGAAAGCTGCTGAACTAGATGAGCCAATGATCCAGCTTGAGATATGAGCTGGTGGTCTGACCTGAGATGCTTCTTGTGTCCCACCTGGGCAGGAGTGCAACAGGTGAGGCAAATAGGTGGCCAGTACTGAACTGTTTCCCCACCTTTTCTTCCCTAAAGTGATTCTTCTAAGATCAAACCCAACACTGACAGCTGGGGCATTCAGCAACTTTGCTTATGCTCTGTCTTTGCACATTAAACTGCACTCCCATCTCCCCACGTCCCATGAAGTTGCATCAGATGTGCTTAAAGACAGAGGGCTGTGGTCAGCGCAGGGCCAGACTGCACAGGGATCAAATCCATGCAGTTCACCACAGCTGCTGAATCCAGGTGAGTATGCGCACACATGACCTTGCAGGAGAGCACACACCCTCAGGCCCAATTCCCCACCTGCTAAGTCTATGATTTGCTCTGATATTTGCAACATGGCTTCAAAACAATGTGGTGACTGGAGGCACAGGGATGCTGACAATATTCAAAACTACAATGGTGCCTTGAAGGGGCATGCCAATGCCACTTCAGGAAAACAAAAGAAATAATTTGAACAATATGTGAAAAGACATGTTTCCAGTTAAAAGGTCATCGGTTGACACTAGCCTAATTAAACCACAATGTAATCCCACCGGCCAAAGGGACAGCTGTCTCTCCTCATCCAGCATCCAAACAAGAATGCCTGTTGGAGCAATACTTCCTCATGCAATATGCATGTAATTAGAAAGAAAGAAATCCTCGACCACTTCAGCTGTATGCTAAGCCCACTCTTTACCCAAAAGCTATTTGATGTCTCCCATAGATTGATTCAGTCTTTCAGGTGGGGGAGGGGGCATTATTTTGCCTCCTAAGTGTAATGGCTTAGGGACTGCAGGTGGCGCAGTGGTTTAAACTGCTGTGCTGCTGGGCTGGTTGATCGAACGGTCGCCGGTTCGAGTCTGCACAATGGGGTGAGTTCCTGTTGCTTCGTCCCAGCTCCTGCCAACCTTGCAGTTCGAAAGCGTGCAAATGCAAGGAGATAAAAAGGTACCACTTCAGTGGGAAGGTAAAGTGTTCCATGCACTTCGGTGTTTAGTCATGCCGGCCACATGACCACGGAGACTGTCTGCAGACAAACGCTGGCTCCCTCGGCTAGGAAAAGGAGATGAGCACAGCCCCCTAGAGTCAGGCATGACTGGACTTAATGTCAAGGGGAAACCTTTACCTTTTAAGTGTAATGGCAAAGTTTGGGCCAAATGCCTCATTTGATTGTTAATGCATGCACATGGACAAGTAAACAACCTGTGAAGCTTTGAGGGCTCTGCAAGTGCCTCGGTGGATCTGCCTTTGTTCCTGAGGACTAAGGGCAAAGAAAGATATGCAAGAATGTGCTAAAAGATTGGCAAAGCAGGAATGGACAAGAGCCTTTGTTTCCTCTTGTTCTCCTCTTTATCCCATTGTCCTTGGGACTTCTAAGTTGTGGCTACTTTCCTCTTAAACTTGGCTTTGGTCATTCCTATGGTTATTTGTCCTTTCTTGTTCAGAGTGTATTATATTTTTTTGCTATTATTTCTGGAAAAAAACATTTACCACAGACATTCCCAGGGCAATTTACATAGAATGATTTTTTAAAAACATTTAATCAAAATACTAACTGCAGCCATAAAACACAAAGGCAAGAGATCTTAAACATAAGGTGAAAACGAATCACCAAGGCTAACATTAAGTGTAAAAGGCCTAGAACTGATAGATTTATTAATTAATGGCTCGGTGTGCACAAGACGACAAAAGAGACAGCAGGGGGCTGTCCCAGCAGTCAGTGGGGAGCCACTGTGGGTCCTCTCTGAGGTCACCGCCCACCCAACTGCCAGCAATCAGAACCCAGCATCCAGTGGATTAACTTCCCTCCCTGGTAACACTCTAGCAGGCCTGCAGACTCAATGTATTAGCATGTCTGTGTAGTCACACCGGTAAAGCCTCCCAAGGAAAAAGGTCGCTCTGCTTGCTATGTCATGTAATGGCAGAACAGGGCCTCAACACAGCTTCCTAGCAATGTCCGGAAGAAAAATAAAGAAACTGCTTTGGGCCGGCAAAAATGCAGCTAAGTTGGAGAACCATGAAACCATTTTTTACATCTTACATGCCAAATGCCAGGGATATAATTCTGCATATATAAACAGCCATGAAGAATCAGCAGACCTGAAAACATCTGTCTTGTTAAATCTTCCTTCACTCTTAGAATTCTATAAATATTTGAATTTTAAAATAGCAAAAGCTTGAAGCGATGCATTATCATGGCTTTTGGGGATAAATAGGTGACACAGCACTTCCCACTTGTTTTGGTGGAAGCAAAATACTGCACATTTCTGAATTCCGCATAAAAAATGCATGCCTTGAGATCGATTGTTTTGTTCCTTCTCTCTAAACATCACATCACCTGCACCCTTAAAATCATTAAAAGTTTAGCTGTTGGCTTTAATAAAAACAAGCTAATGCCCTGTTCTTTCATTGCTCCTCAAATAATAGGCAGCACACCAGAGGTCAACCTTTTGGACAAGTCTGTCCTAACCCGAGCGTAGGACACTCTAGCACAGGTTACTGTGCCCATGTGGCCCCCAACATCGTCATATGACTTTGCAGCTAGCCTGCAAAGCTGAGCTCAAGCATCCATGCTACATGAATAAGGCAGACCCTGCACAATCCAGCCCTTAGCAGTTCTGGTGACCAGACTTTAGGATGGGTGCTCGTGCTCTAAACCGAAACTGGACAACACGTGGCCTTCCGGATGTTTTAAGCTACACATTTCTTTTTAGCATCCAGCATTAGGTGGGGTAACCCTGAGAAGGAGGGAAGCTAGGTTGTGCAGCCTGCCCAACCAAAGAGAGGCAAGCCACATGGGAGAAACTTTGTTGAAGCCCTTCCCAAATCTCATCCAAGACCTCACAATGCTACAAAAACTAATGACTTGTGAGATGTCCTTTTCCCAGTCCTCTCACAAAGACCAGCAGGCCCAAATCATCACAGAAATGGCCAGAGATGCCCACAGCACTGGACATTTCCTGGCCACCCCGACCACCTTCGAAAGGGGGAGGGTCAACTAAAGATGGGGTCACTTTGACTGGGCCTGCAACCTCCCTATTTCTGTCGGTGCACCTGTGGTTTGGACTGTGCCATGCTTGTGGCTGACTCTTTGCAACGCCTGCGGTCAGGTGGAAATGGTGTACAACTTGCGGTTGGCAGAGAGATTTCTTTATGTTACCTAACAATCTATATGTGATTGTTCTGAAGGAGGAGGAAGCAACTCTTTGTCATGGTTGAATTGCCTCTGAAATGCATATGAAATTTGCATCATTCGATGCTTGAGTTTAAATTGTAACTGGTTGGATAAAAATGGATCCTTAAAAATTGCATTAAAGAAACTAAATTGGATTTTTCCCCAGTTTAATAGCTATCAAACCTTTCTTTGACCATCATGCACAGATATTTTGTTTTAATTTGTTACTTTGCTTTCTCTGAGAGTCTGGCTGGGCCAAGGGAGTGAAGCAGAATGGAGCAATACTAGAATGGAAAAGAGAAGACAAAATTATTCAGTGTGTCTTCTGGTGTTCACAAACTAAGACTGCAAACCTACACATGTTTACATGTGAGTAAATGCCACTGCACTCAATGGAACTTATTTATGAGGAGAGGAATACAGGATTGTGCTGTTAACCTCAAGCTCTCATGGGTGCTAGGTATTAAAAAACATATAAAGGTATATTTTAAAGACATTCTTGCATATGTAAAAAGGAAAGAATACAAAATATATACACTGAGACAAAGAGATGCAAAGCCTGATGTAGGAATGAAACACTGCATATAATATTCTACCTTGTTTTAAATTAACATGACTTATGAAAAGTTTTGCATGGGAAAATTATTTAAATTATTGGTTTAAAACAACCTTTTCCACACCTTGATTTAAATCAATTCATCCTGTATTCTTAGATATATCCTGAAGGATCACTAATCTTATTAATAAAGCAGCAAATCTGAAACATCCCAGGCCAATATAGAACTACATTTTTGGCCAACAAATGTACTATTAAAAGGTACTGCTACATTCCACGGACAGACAGGAAAACAAACAAAGCAAAGCAACTATCTGAAAAGATTAAGAAACAACTTAGGGCCAACTCTACAATCAAAAAAAGTGTAGCTGTTTGTTTATAAGGTTATAAAGAGGCTTATAAGAAACACAGATATATACAGTCTATTTTGGGATAGAAGTTTTATGAGACACATAGAAATCTACTTAATGTTTTTATAGTTAAAAATGTTAAGTTCAGTTTAAAAAGAAAACACTCAGTTTGACTTCTTGTCGTAATTCTGGCATGATTTAACTGCAGCTTCGTCTTCCTGGAAAAATCTCTGTGGCTTCTAAGTGGGTCAAATAAAGCAGAATTGTTGCCATGCCAGCTCCAAAGAATCCCCAAATAGGTGGAGCTCTACTCAACAGCAGCTAGCCCTAAGAAAAAAACAATGATTTTACCTATTCAGCATAGCAAGAAATTCATATTTATTGGAATGACATGATTATGTGATTATTAAAAATGTTAAAATGTTAGGCACTAAAGAACAGATTTTGCAAAGCAAACAAACTATAATTTGTGATTTTAAAAACTGCAACTGTTTGTGTCAGGGACCAGACGAAGTACTGTCAACACATATGGTTGAACC